GAGAACGGGGCTTCTCTTGTTTTCTGCTGTGCAAAAGCTAAGAAAGGTGTCATATACGATCCAAATATTTCTTTGAAATTGAAAAATATGCAATACAATTATTAATAGCAATTCTATTTAGAGAAGAAATCTGCCGACCGGAAAGCAGGAAATCGCAGGAAACCACAACATTGGGGAGGGGTAGGTGCGCAGCTGCTCAGAAACAGTATGGAGATAGTAGCTTGGCAAAACAAAGAAAGGAAACAACAAAGGGAGTTACTGGATGCGAAAATAACAACATCAGCAGCAAATAGCGACAGTAACAGGTTTTAAGCCCGCAAAAAGAGACCAAAAAATTTGCGTTTCAAAAAAGTTTGGAAGTCATTGATCTTACCTGAATTAAACGTGTGGCAGAGCCCCGCCATGGGAGTCACAACTGTCCTGTGATCGCATGTTGGTTTTTCGTTCCAAAGACAGCTGTGCATTAATTAAGTGTTGTCGATTTGATGACCCGCAAGGTAAAGAAATTGTGTAGGGTTCGAGATTGTTTAATTGCATAACCCTTTAGCCTTTAAGAGTGACTAGCATCTAATTTCTCCTTACTATATCACCACTGAATCAGACATGAAGTTATGAGAATAGAGGAGATGATCACCAACTAAAGCAACTCTTGACTGTTAAACAAATTCTCCTTGTCAGCCTCTTTGGAAATGTATGGAGAACAGTATGGAGAAGATGCATAATGATCTAAGAGGGTAAAGGATTAAAATGCTCTCAGTTGAAACAGTACCTTGTATTATTGACTTAAAATACTAGTAAAAAAAACCTGATCACTCCCATTTACTTTAGCCACAGACTTTCTGATTATGTTAAAGTTGCAGATAGTCACGGATGGAAAATCCGTGATGGCCTCGTGTTTCGAACTGACTTTAGTCGTGACCGGGTAGTTGAAATACTTCTTTAGCAACATAAATGTCTGAAATAAAAAGCACGACATTGCCTGTAAAAGAAGCACAGTCCAGAGGACGCGGTGAATCCATAGTGTTTCGGTAAAAACGTGTTGTAGACCATGAAGAGTAGAACTGTATACAAAGCGACTGAATCATTCTCGTATTGCACCTGCCACGGACACGTTTTCGTGACTCTCCGCGTAAAATTCTTGTTCAATTTTGCTGTGCCTACATGCTGTACTTCGTTTTGGATCCTGGTACTGTAATTCGATTTCTGACTTTTCTTGAAACCATATTGCTACTTGGTTGAGCTCTCAGGCCGTTCAGACTTATAATCTTTCAATTAAAATCAATGTTACATAATGTGGAAATGTTAACCTTACCTAGAAACGGTGTTTTTAATTTGGCGTTGTTTTTAGAGCACAAGCACTCAGTATTGTAATCATAGAAAGGAAACACATATACTCCTCTGATAATCATAACACTTCTTTGAGGCAAGTAAACAAATTGGCTCGGCAATTTGTTCATTATTTTTTAGCTTACTGCACACGTGTCTTGAGTGTGACTTTCTGAATGAAAAAATTCTCAATTGCCCGTTGCTATTTAACTTCGTTCGACACCAATTCTCCTCCTGGAGTGGAAAGTGGAAATCCCGAAAAAAGACCTCAAAGAAAGGTAATTGTGCAAAAACTGTAGTTAAAAGTTTTATTAAAAATCCTGACAGTGAAAATAGAGATAAAAAGAAATGTTGACAAAATCAATTGAATCAATTGAATCAATTTCAAATGAAATTCAAATTAACATTTTCAAAACACTTTCAACTGAAATGCTCCAGAACAGCAAAGGCTCTGAAAAACTATTCACATTTGCTCTGTTTGTTCAAAAAAGCTAGCCGTTCACACGAGCTAACATTTGCGTTGATGCTCACTTTTTGAAATTAAAGTCGTTCACCGTAGTGGAATAATGCATATGAGCCTGAAAAAAGAGGCATATGGGAGTTTTACCACGTCTATTCAATGTTTTCTTCTCTACTGGAACACATATTCTTATTGGCTTCTTTTCCCTTTACTTTCAAGATTCCCGAAATTGCAAGAGAAGTGCAAATTAAACTGGTTCCTAACTTGTAACTTTGGCTTTTAAATCTTAGACAATTCTCCACCCTTAAGATTTAGAGGTTGCATTTGTATCCTTTCTGTTTTGGAGGCACTTGAAAGATTTGAAGGAGGCCTACTTTGGGACCTTAAGTCGCCGTAACTTTAGGCGACTTTGGGCGACTTAAAGCGACTTAAGGCGACTTAAGGCGACTTTAGCAAAATTGGCACAAAAAATATTGCGACTTTAGGCGATTTAAGGCGACTTAAGGTCTCAGAGTAGGCCTTTACATTCTCTAATCGCAATGACATTTTCAGCGATGTTTTACCAGGAGGAAAATGCCTACCATCCATAATGTGAACTTCATATTGGCATTCTGTAATGGTTTAATTGTAGGGACTAATCTTTCTCCTTTAATCTCATATGCACAGCCAGTGGTTATTCAGTTCTTCGCAGTCTACCTTAGCACCTCGCGTATGAATAACAAATTTATATGAACGATATCCTAAACTCGAACAAACTTATTAGCAACTCCGCAGAGAACATGTTACTAAGTTAGTGCAAATATTAATAGAACCTATCTTTAAACAACTAGTCTTGTATTTGAATACAGAAGTGACTTGATAAAACTACTTCCTATCCAGTCTCTCCAACTACTTTTCTAGCTGCAGAAAACTATGATTGAAGTGGAGTGGATAAGGTCAATTGGGAAGGGTTGAACCCTTATGACATTGCGTAACCAGGAAACTTAAGGTGGCTTAAGGCGACTTAAGGTCTCAGAGCAGGCCTTGAAGGCGCTCTTTAGAAGACTTTTTATTTGGGGGAGACATGGCACAGTACTTAGTACTGAAGAATTTTGATGCTGTTGACAGTCTCTCCTTTGCTTTCTTCTCTTTCCACTTACACAA